CTCGACGAGACGGTTTCAACGCCGCCGTTTTCGGCGCCGTGACTCTTTCTGTTGTTGAGAAATCGATATTTGAAAAATCGGTCCAGGGGGTGTATTATCTCGTGTCATTTACGGTGTTGACAGGGACACGACTCGACGACGCGACACCGAACGGGGCACAAGGGGGCACACAAGTGGGAATGGAGAAGAAAACAACCACGTGCCATGTTCGCCGGTTGTGGAGGGCACTCAACGCTTTGTCTTCAAGAGGTACAGCAGCAGGGGGCGGAGAGAACTGTCTGTGACCGGCCCGTCTTGTACAGCAACACAGACGATGGCGGCGCTTGGTGTCGCGGAGTGCAACAAACTCTGGTGATCCAATGCATGTTTCAATTTCGTTGTTCAAAAACCATGCCCGCTCTGCCCCCCCCCTTCCCCCTTCAGAACAAAACGTCNCAAAGAGGAGAGTGAGAAACGGAAACATCAAAGCATACGAAATACCGTACATGACACAAGAAAACACACCCCCTGGACCGATTTTCAAATCTCGATTTCTCAACAACAGAAAGAGTCACGGCGCCGATAACGGCGGCGTTGGAACCGTCTCGTCGAGAGCTTTCCAGAAATGTATCGTTTCGTTTATGCATCCTCTTCGTCGTGAGTAATCGAGCTTTGAGTATCGGTCCAGGGGGTGTGTTATCTTGAGTCATATACGGTATACGTGAGTTGTAGGCAACAAATGAACCAAAAACAGTTCAGACATTGAAGAGAAACGAGAAACGAGGAGAAACGAGAAACGAAACATTGAAAATTCCGGATGTACGTCTGTCGCTGTTTTAGGCGAGAAAACACGAACGAAAGCCCAGACAAAATGAAACGAAGTGTGTGTGTGTGCGTCTTTTTTATCCGCATCGACGCGCTAAGGTGTGTTGTATATGTTTGTGTGCTTTCGCCCCATCTCTTGTGTTCGACGCATGTGAAAGCCCTGCTTGTATGTGCTTTCCTTCATGCAATGACCCCAGGTCTCCGAAAGAGAACAAAAAATACGATTCCACCGTCACACCAATGACCTCATCTAAGACGATTAAAAAAAAAACAAAACATTCTTTCGATCACGAACTTGGTTTGAAAAGTGAACGCGCGCTGGCATGCAGGGGACAGGTTCTGAGTGGCCCCAGATTCCGCACACTGTCTGTGGAGCAATGGATCTTCACAAAAATAAGCTCTACGCGATCTCACATCTGTGTGCATCTTCCCTCATTTTACGGTACAACACACAACTTGAGCAGCCGAAAGAACACACCAAGACCATTTTTTTATTCTTTCTTGGGTCAACCGTGACCGAAAAAAAAAAAGAAGCAACAGAAATGACCCTTTCCTCAAGTCGAAAAAAAAAAACAAGACAAGCCTCTCACGTCATCGTACTCCAGGGGGCCCGCGGAGTCGCTCGTCGCCTTCCCCAGAGCCATCTCGTGCGTCGCGGAGCCGGAGGAGGCGTGCTTGATGTCGAAAGCCCCGGGCTCCGAGCACGAGACCGTCACGGACTTGTAGGCCCGCATCGGACACACGCACTTGCTCGCGTCGCGGAGCTTCACTGCGAACGCTGGCAGCCAGCACGGGTCTCCCAGAGGGAGGGACTGCACGATGTACATAATTGTTTTGTTTTGTTTTTTTGGGGGGGGCGGGGGCGGGCGTGATGTCACGGAGCTTCACCACGAATATGCGCAGTCAGCACGGGTCTCCCAAAGGGATAGAGGGATAGACACCCGATATTGGTTCATTGCTACTGACGGTTCGGGGGTGTGATGTGCAGGGTTAAATGATGAGGCGTCAGTTCATGACAACACTTGCACCTAAGAAAAAACTGCAGCACACGTTTCCCGCTTGAGGCTCCCGATCTGATGGACGTCGATGTGGCTGCTTCCACCCCCACTTTCCTGCTCTTCAAATATGGCAACAAACAAAAACGCACCGTTCTATTATCACGCTCCCGAAGCATCGAGAGCTATTCACTGCCCTGTTCGTAAAAAAAGAGAAAAATGCACCCAAATAACGTCGTCACTCTAGGATACCCCACCCCCCGAAGCATCGAGAGCTCATCACTACCCTGCTCTAAAACAACCCCCCCCCCCCCCCCCCCCCCCCCCCCCCCCCCCCCCCCCCCCCCCCCCCC